CGGTCCTTACCTAGATCGACAGAATGAACTCTTCCTAACGCTATATATACTAGGCCTCTCAAGAGAGACGGGCGGTATTGACTCGTGTCCGAACCCTCTGCTTTGGCAAAGAAGAACTCGGACGAAGCTTTGCCGAAGGGCAAAGTTTCGACTGGGGAGGTAGACAGGCCCTGAACCAATCTAAGTGGGTCCAAAGGGTATATTTTTAACCGAGCCTACGGGCTCGGAGAAACCCACGTTAAGCTCGGCCTTGTGCCACATGCATTCCTCATGGGCGGGACTGTTAAATATCGGTATTGAATCGAGTCGAGCTGATAGCAGTTCACTCCAAACCAGTCTGACAGTCATACTAACACCTTCCACTTGTATTATTTTTCGTGTAATATATTCTTTGTTATTTCTACTCTTGTGTTTCATGTTGTTCTTCCACGGTCCTAACCTTGGATCATAACAGATAGATAGATAGATCTCTTATAGTTCTTTCTCCTTAATAGTGTTTTTCTCATATTCTCTAAAACTCAGAAATCAGCTTGCGTCTTAGTGGCTTTATTGCCTTGTGTGGGGTAAAATGGTTGAGTAGATGTTTTTGTTTAGTGGCATTTCAACCTCTATGAGTTACGTTCACGCCGACATTTAAATATTTTGTACGCGATTTTATTTTTATTGTTTTGGAGATAATGGTTTAAGTGATACAAGAGGAGGATTCATATCTTCCACAAGGGTATTTGCGCGCAAATGAATATAAGAAACCTGAGCGGGAATTGGAACACGGTTCTCTGATTCAAAATTCTGACCCATTATCCATTACATCATCTGCACATCTAAGCTTACAGCACCCTTATTCTCAAGTGGTCACCCACCTACTTACTTACCAGATTCGACCCTGCTTAATTTCGGTGATCGTACTGATCGAAGTTAAGCATCGTCATGCACGGTCAGAATATATTTATGTTGATTGATTTGTATTTTACAGGTTATCATACTTTTGTGGATCATTTAAAGCCGAATCATATTTCGGGTTGTTTTGAACCGCTTGGGAAACCCCTGGTACCGTAAGCAACCCCTTACAACCCGAAATATGATTCGGCTTTAAATGATTCACAAAGGTTTGGTAAGCTGTAAAATACAAATCAATCAACATAAATTAACTCTAAACAACAGTCAATCCCTCCGTTTATATACACATATGTGTGTGTGTGTAAATGATAGTAGTTATTGGGGGGGGATTTGAATAAACAAATCAAAGGGATTCATTGAGTCTCGAAGAATCCTCAACAGAATGCAGAATGCGCTAGACGGCCGTTTCGTCCTATATTTGGGACCCATCAGCAGTGCGTATACACTACTAAGATCACTTTGACATACCTATTCAAATCCCACCAATAACTTCTATCGTTTGTATATCCTTGCTTGAACGAGCTTCTAATACTCTGGAGAGAGCGGCTTAGGGAAAGAAGACGTTGCACGTTGGGGGCACAATCCAGAGGGAAAAAGCATACTTGGAATGAGAGCAGCGTTATATCTAGTCTAGATAGTTACCCTTTGGTCACCGAGGCCTGTTGGTACAGTTGGTATGACGCTTGAGTCGTATCGTAATGTTTCGTTCCTCGGTAGTGGATGCGCGCAGTTGATGAGTCTCTAATAAAAGACAAAACGGCCGTCTTGTGCATTTTGTTGAAGATTCTTCTAGACTTGCCCCTTTTCTTCACTTCAAAGTTTTGACATTCTTTTTTACTCTCAGAGACCCCTGATGTTTTAGTGGAATCATCGTAATACTTGGGGTGAAATGATGAAATAATGTATTTCTTTTGCTAAAAAATATTTGTATGTTTTCTTACGGTAAAAGCATTAGCTAAATATTTATATTATACATACAATATATCTCTCATATTTCAATATTTCTCAATAATATTATAATAATAATGTTAGTATAATACATCAATAATGTATATTTGTATGTTTTCTTACCGTAAAAGCATTAGCTAAAGATTTATATTATACAATCTCTCACTCATCTTTCAATATCTCTCAAGAAGCAAAGACTAACCATTAATTGACAGAAGATGTCAGCCAAAAGAGGGAAAAGTGACAGCCATAGTTCTGACATACTGCAATGTAACTATCTCCTTATGCTAGTAACAGAAGTCAGAAAGTGTGACACAGAAATCCGAAGCTGCTCAGAAATAGTTAAAGGTTCATTTCAGAAAGTATGAAACAAAGAAAAGGGCACTGAACTGCTATTTAAAATCTAATACTTCTCTCTAGAAAAAAGTTTTCCCGGAAAATCGGTTTCTCAAGTCCCTTATTGTTCTTCCAATTATTGGTGGGCGTTTCCTTCCTAGCTATTTGTTTGAAGTAGTGTGGAAAGTCATAATCTTGATTATGTCATTATTTTCTCTTCTGGTTACATGTGATACACATTTTAGTTGTTGCTCTTGTTGAAAGTCCTCAAGTGATGTGGTTTCTGTTATTTGATACAGCTCTTTGTTTGTGATTCTGGGGCGCCGTCCACCAGGTTAAAAAAAAAGAATGATTCTCGCTAAGACCTACAAAGTCCATTCACTCGAAGCTATTTGTAACCATCGACCTGAGGAAGCAGTTGTATACAACGGTTGTATTACCGTCATACGTGACGTGGATAGGAATGTTTCGATATGAACGTCACGATTAAAGAATATGTCTTGAGATTTTGGCTTGAGTCTTGAAGCAAGTTGTAGTGTTGCACATTGCACAGCCTACACATTGCACAGCCTATGTTTTGTTTCCTGATCTCCTATAATGATTTTTTTTTATATAGATGATCCATACAACGAGATATTTGAAGTGTTTGGTATTTACCAATTCCATATCTTTAAATTTTATGATGGACTGAGATTATGTGCCGTCTCTGTTTTCATTCCAATTCCGAATCATAGATTCTGTTTTGGAAAGGTTCATTTTAAGGACTATTTCTTTGAACACTTGGTAGAAGAACGGAACGAACGGGATCTAAAAAAAAACTGATGCTAAAAGACAGCTGAAAACAACTGAGGCACATAATGAGGAAAGATTACTTGGAGAATTTAACAGGCACAAGACATTGATCTGTCTAGCAATAACATCGGGCCTCAATGGGCACTACCCCTAACCCGAATTAAGCGGTGGCTGCTATAATACCCTAGTGTGTAAATGGATCAGGAATTCGGCGTGTCATCAACAGTATAGCGGGGAAAATAAGCTGGATATTAGCCATCACTGACGTTTTTGCAGGATATTAGGAGTGTTCAGTTGTAACAACAAGATCGCTTTTGAATGTATTTTGATAGCTGTTTTATGACCGTCTTATAATTATTCCTTCACTCAATTTTCAACATATTATGCCCTTTTAGCTTAAAAGGAATTTAGGTTTAGGCACAAAGAAAGATATCTATTGTAAACGGAGAAGGTGCTTTAGATGCTCGAATGTATCAAAAAATAGTGCGCTCGAGGTTTCACGTCGAAGATATAATATTGAACAACGCGCCATGGTCGTGTAGACCAGTTCAGCTTAATGGCGTTCAAAAGCAAGTCATTAGAATAATCAAATTTATACGATGCAGCATAAGACTAATCTTCACTCCATTAATCATCTGAGAGACCCATCAACATGGCTGATGCTAAGCACCCAGAAAGTTACTCATTACGCGGATTTGGCAAACGTTTTCAGCTGACATGAAGTGGAAATCCTACAGCGAATCTAGAAAGATAGTTGGTTCACTGTTTTGTGCGAAACAATTTTTCTCTCTAGAATCCATCATACATATCTAGAAGACTGTTATTCATCCATGCTTAGAATATTGCTGCAACATATGGTCCGATGCCCCTGCTATTTACCTTGAGCTCTTTGAGAGAATCCAAAAAAGAATCAGTAATATTATCGTTCTTGAACTGGCGGTTTGGCTTCCGTCATTTTTCCATTGCCGAAAGGTTTCCTCTCTGTCCTTTTTTTTTTATAAATACTTTCATGGTAATTGTTCGGATGAGATCTTCGCTATGGTATTGAGACTTTTCGAAGACTCCCATAAGGCAAACAGATGTAACAGGATCCCAGCAGTCGTCCTAAAGAAATGTGCTTCCGAGCTGGCTCCAGATCTCTCCAAACTCTACAACTATTGCCTCGCTGTTTCCTGCTTGTTGGAAGTACTCCGCTGTAGTTCTTATTTTTAAGAACTCTGGAGAACTTTCTGATCCCTCTGACTATCGCCCAGTTAGACTCATACTGCGTTTCGGCAAAGTATTCGAGACTTTAATCAATGCAGAACTGATTAATCATCTTACCTCTCACGACCCACTCTCTGACAAACAATATGGTATCCGTTTCACCAGATCTACCGCTGATGTGCTAATGGCCATCACGGAATATGTACATCAATCTCTCCATAATAATGGCGAAGCTCAAGCTGTGGCTCTAGATATCTCGAAAGCGTTTGACAGGGTTTGGCACGTTGGTCTTCATCGTAAACGCCAGGGCTACTGTATTACAGGATGATTGTTTGAATTAATATAATTGGTCCTATCAAATCGTGAAATGAAGGTCGCTTTGAATGAACTCGCTTCCAGATCGTTTCCCCCAAGGCTCTATCCTGTGACCTACGCTGTTTCTGATCTTCATCAATGATCCATCTTCCTGGTGTCATCAATTCCCAAGAAGGCATTTATGTTGATGACACTACCATTTACACTTGTCTCAATAGCAAATCCGTCAGAGCTGACAAAGTTAACTTGGCCGCTGCTCTTGAAAAGGACCTCCGATCTGTGATTAACTGGGGGCAGAAAATGGCTTGTAAATTTGAATGCTTCCAAAACGAAACTGCTCTCATTTAACCACTATAGAGAAACTGATACTAGACTCATGGAGAGTGACACCCTGCGATTATTGGCCTCACGTTTTCGACTGAATTGTAGTGGAACGACTACATCGGATCAATTCCCGCATCTACTGCAAGGAGATTTGGGTCACTGTATTGTGCCAAAAGGTTTTT